ACACACACACACACACACACACACACACACACACACACACACACACATCAACTCTGATAGAGGAGGTCAGAGGAAGTGTAAAGAAGGCTGGGGGGAAAAAATGACATTGCAGGTCCCACCGAGATTTGAACTCGGATCGCTGGATTCAGAGTCCAGAGTGCTAACCATTACACCATGGAACCTCCTACCAGCTAGGGAGGTGTGAGGGGGGCTTACTGGTAGTATTCGGGGCTGCACTTCTGTGCGTATTTATGGCATGCACGCTGTGTGTAACTCGAGCGTGTCTTGGTTTTCCATAGCTCTTCTTTGGATTGTTTCCTCCTGCTGGTCATATGCTGGAGAAGATTCTCAGTCGTCCAGGTCATGATCCGTCCAACAAAAGGTTAAAAAACATCTGGACTTTATTCTGAAGAAGGACATTCATTCCTCCAGACTAAGAACTGATCAAGCCTGGACTGGAAGTGAAACATCTTCAGCTTCAAAATAGAAGTCCAGTTGTTTTTTAACCTTTTATTTATTATTAAACTCATGCTGGTCGCTTGTTTTTCAGGCAGATCAATGTTCTGTTTGCACAGTTGGTTTTGTTTTGACTATTAATTTAATCTAAATATAGACTGGATTATTTTTAATCTAATGCTCTTGTTTGAATAAAAATAACATTAAAATATAGGTTTTCTCATGGTTGTTACAGTAATATTTTTAAGAAGTTATCACAAAGATCTTATTGTATAACTTACAGATTTGTTTGACTGAGCAGCGGGACTCTCCAAACTGTGGCTACATACAAGCTAATTAATTTTTATTACATTATAGCTCAGTGGAATGAGCTTAGGTGAGGCTTTTGCATCAGTTTTAAATTATTTGTGTTTAACTGAACAAATCTTTAAAAATACAGCGATCACCTTTTCGAGGTATACATTTGACAAATGTATGCCTGGAGTTAAACTCCGAGCTCTGGATTCAGACTCCAAAATCCTGACAAGTGGAGCTCAAAGCTATATACTCAGTCATTACAAATCACTCAGACATACTTACACAATTCAACGTCCACAACATCGTTTGCCAAGCACGGTGCTGACATGTATTAATGTCTGTCAGTGGAACGGAGCCAACATTGTTTAGTGGTTGTAGCAGAATTAATTGAATAACCTTATTTTCTACAATCAAATGTGTCAAAGCGGTCCTGTTATGGAGTTGCGACCTGTCCAGGGTGTCCCCCGCCGCCTCACGCAAAGTGACCACCAGAGATTAGCGCCAGCTCCCCTGTGATCTCCCAACCACCACGGCATTTACCTCCACCTACCTCGTTATCTGTTTAACTCCCTGAAGACCAAACAAAATCAGAAAAACTCAACAAACTATAATTCAAAACTTTATGTATACATCTCTGGCAAATGGTCTCATAGAATAAATCCACATTTTTCCCCATAGCTTTCCGACTTCAGACCACTATAAAGAGTTTAACTATATAATTACTGTTGAGACTGGGAGAATGGAGAGCCAGGTTAATAAATGGCTTTAATTCATGAAATTGTGTATTTTTTATTGTTTTTTTTAACAAATTCCTTGAACTAGACCTGAACACTTTTCTTTCAGTCACATAATTCATCAATTAGAAACTTAAATGCTTGTCTAAATACTAACACATTTGGCATTTAGTTAGTGTGACCTTTTCTTTAAAAGCATTTATATTCCAATGCAGACTCATTTTTTTATGTTAGGGTGTCAGCATGTTCATGAAAACATTAGAAACATATATTCAAGCTCCATCTTCGGTCTCTATTTTTCACTGAATGAATTGAATCTTTACATAAGTGTACATTTATCTGTCACGCTGACAAACGTGTTCACTCTCTCTCATCAGATTTCTTTGGACAATGACTACTTGGGCCCAAGGCGGATTGAAGCTCTAAAAAAGGAGGACTCTGACTGGCAGAAGAAAGCTCAAGAGGCAGTTCTAAACATCCAGGAGTTTACTGTAAAATACTTTGAGATCACTGCCAAAGCCCAGAAAGGTACTGCACACCTCATTACTGCTGCCAGGGTCAAGTCAGTCAAACTGCAGTGGGCTGATTCTGATGAATCACACATGTAATACTGGTTTACTATTGACCTGTGTGTGAGTTTGAATCCCAGGGCTAATGTATTAATGAGACAGCCACGCTCTGAGTGTGACAGAAAGAATCAAGGACAGTATTGATCACACAGTACTTGCCCACAGTTTCTGTCTGTAAGGTTATTCCTGAATGTCACCCTGTCTGTTACACGTTTTCTCCATAACTCACTGCTTCATGAATCATATGGCACTAAAAAAAAAAAACAAGTGTAAGCTGTTGGCTCAAGCTGCAAACTTTAAAGGGAGTAGTAATAATCAAACATGGCCAGTAGATGTCTCTCTCTTGTTACTGGTCAAGTGAAAGGAGAAGGTGAGGTTCTCCCTCACTGAGCACACTTCTTGTTAAACTGTGTTGTTTCTGTGTGCAGGGCTGTACGAGCGCATGAAAGTGGACCAGCGAAAGTTTGGGAAATCTTCATGGACAGCAGCGGTGGAGCGCATGGAGAGACTGCGCTACTCTGTCGCCAAGGAGACCTTACAGCTTCAGAGAGCCAGGGAGATCTGTCTGGAGCAGAGGAAACACACACTTCGAGAGGAGGTGTGGACCACTCAGAACCAAAGGCGCTTTATTTAAACACGTTCTGTTGTTTTCCAAGTGCTGATTTATTCAGGTCTCTCTTGTAAATGAGTCCTCGAGGCTCAATGGGATTAACCTGTCTAAATAAAGGTTGAAAAATTCATCCCTGCCCTCAGATGCAGAGTCTCTGCAGCAGTGAAAAAGCGATGGCCCTCCTGGACCACATGGAGACACAGTACTATGAGCTGCAGCTCCAGCTGTATGACATACAAGCTGAGATACTCCACTGTGAGGAGTTACTCCTCACTGCACAATTAGACAGCATTCGCAGGCAGATGACAGGTATTTTCAATTAATTTTATCTGCTACTATTTGTGCAAAGTTTGCTGACAAGATCAAGTGATTTTGATTATAGAATACATTGTTCAATTAATTTTTCCTCCTTAGCCTACACAGGATTCTCCACAATGACCAAAGTAGACAAGTGCTGAAAAATTAAATAGCATTTAATGTATTTTGTTCTGATGCTTCTAGTTGAACTCAGGTTCATCCCACTTTAGTTCGTGTTTTATTATGTGTACCATTAACTAATTACTGTATCTGATAATATGACAATGAAAACAGGAATCGCAGGGTTTTTAACTTACAAAGTAGTTTCAAGTGTGTAGTTTGAACACGTATGAATGTAGAAAACATCAGGATTTCATTTTTTGATAAATTAACAAAATAGTCCAAAATCCTGTTTCTGCTTTGTCCTTGTGGAGACATTTATGAAGACTGATGAGAATAAGAATTGAATCTATTCAAAGAAAAATCTTAAACTTAAAAAAAAAAGAATTTGAAAAAAAAAAAAAAATTAATTTGTGCTTTAAAAGTGACTCGTGAACATGTTTGTGCCTTCAGAGCATCAGGATGAGGTGGTGTACTATGACACCTTTGAAAGTGCAGATGATATAACGGAGGATGACGCTGCCCAGCGAGAGGAGCTGCGCAGGCTTCAGGCCAGCGCTCGACAGCTTGAAGCAAGAAGGGGTCGCATTAATGCCAAGCGCTCTTATCTATGGAACAAAAGGGTGTGTGCTCGATGCACTCTCATTTTTATTCCACAGTACTTACTGCTACTGATATTATTGATTAAAAAATGTGCTTTGCATTTTTTACTGAGTGTTTAGACCTGAACTATAAAATCACAAGACTTTAAATGTGTTCAATAAATTATTCATTATTAGACCAATCTTTTTGTCACTTGGTAATAGTGGTTAATTTGTGTTGATATAATTGTTGCCCCTTTTTTCTGCAGGAAATCTGTGTGTCCAATCACACTCAAAAACAGCAGAGACGTCAAAGCATTCATAAGGACACTTTGTCCCACCTTGTCTTGCAGGTGGAGTTATTTTATTTAACATTCGTTTGGTGCTTTTAGATCAAACACATCTCAGGAGAGAAGCTGTTTTTTTTCCTCACATTATTAAAGCAGAAGAAAAGTGATTAATAAGCATTTTACTCGTGTTTACAAGTTTTATTTCTTTGTGATGTTTTGCATTTGTGCTGCGATAAACTCATGCCATTTAGAAAAACAGCTAACATATTGTGTGCATGTAAAACATTACCTGTAACTCATATATTCTCAACATTGTCAGCAGAAAAATGAAGATGAGAACGAGGAGCTGAAGAACAGCAGAGTGAGTCAGGAGAGGCAGAGAACTCTCGACAGGCTGCGCACCTTCAAGCAGGTCGGTAACCTCAGTTTGAATTAGAAAACACCTGCTTCATAGGTTTTCTTAACGATTGTTTCCTCTTTGCGTCTTTGTCTAGCGATACCCGGGTCAGGTGATTCTGAAGTCCACGCGGCTCCGTTTGTCTCACACCAAAAGAAGAGAGCGTGGCAGGAGCACGGACATGAGCGGCGTGAGTGAGAGGGAGGAGGGTGTGGACTCTGTCGGCGTCCAGACACAGCAGCAGCCGCTGTGTCTCAGTACGAGCATGCAGACGGACCCAAGTCCTACGCTCACCACTCAGCCCGTTGCAACACTCACAGCAACAGTTCCTCCTCTGCCCGTGCCCAGTACGGCCGACTCCTCCTGCTCCCCTTGCTCCTTCTCCTCGCTGCTGGCGTCCCCCATCTCCCTTCCTCCACCGCCACCCCCTCCACCTCCACCACCAACTAAGGAGGAGTTGTCGCCTTCTGGGAGTGCAGGCCAGCACGGGCAAAAGGCTGAGGGGAAGATTGCAGAAGATTTCTTGTTCCCCCCGCTCGGCCCGTTCATCCCTCGTTTTTTTGACAGCAGCCAACTGGTGAGTGCGCGGAAAAAGTTGAGGAAGACTCCAGAGTTTGACTCCCACAGCAGAAGAGGTAATAAATTCCTAACTGGTACGCTAGTTTTTGTCTAAATACCTTCACCTGAATGCAATAACCAGCCTTCTTGCACACAGTGAGCTCTCCCATGGACGAGGTGCTCGCCTCCCTCAAGAGAGGAAGCTTCCATCTGCGGAAGGTCGACCAGCATTCTCTGCCCACCACTAAGGACGACGACGACCCCAACAGCATCCTGGCTCAAATCCGCAAGGGGGTCAAACTTAGACGGGTCCCTTGTAAGGACACGAGAGACCAGAAAGAGCTCCTTGCATCCACCGACCCGCTGACGAGGAGCATCCACGAGGCGCTGCGTCGCATCAAAGAGGCCTCGCCAGACTCGGACTCAGACGATGATGGGCTGGCAGGCCCAGACTGGGAAAGTTAGAGGTGCATCAGAAAACAAACGACAGCACATTCTGACTCTACATGGACTGTTTTGCACTGTGTTGCAAACACACAAAAATCACTCAAGCACCCAGTCGCACACGTAACTGGTTATCGATCCAAGACCAGCTCTGACCAGTCGCCCACGATCAGCTTGTTTAGATGATTTTCACACTACATTCATCATCATGAAGGACATGCTTTTTTTGGTTGTTTTAAATGGTTTTATTTCTGTCACCAGGATGCCATGTTTCTATCAGTTGTACTGTAAAAGGTCTGCATGTCACCTACACACTGCACTGACTGAGCGACACTGACGACTGCGCACGGGAGCTGAGAACCTTTTCATTCAGCCAAGAGCATTTTTAATAAGAAACCAAACTGCAGCAAAAAATATGTTACTGGTATGACTGGTAATCTGGGGTTTTACGGTAGATTTAGAACTGAATAGAAGATTATGCAGAGACTCAGACTGGGATTACTGGATTTACTGTCCAGATTGTAAACCATCGAGCGTCGCCTCCTTTGCTGTTGATTCAACCAGTGCTTTGTCTGGGCTTCAGACGTCACTTTCTTCTCTTTCCTGTGGGAACGTCAAGGAACTCCGCTCATCTAATCAAATAACTTTATATCTTTTAGTCGGTCACGTCATGTGACGGCCCCTCCCCCACGCCTGTCCTTTACCATTGCTGGCTCGCAGCCTTTGACCGGGTGAAGGAAGATGTAACGGCCCATCTGTTCAGCTGCAACATATGGCCAGGCTGGCAGGGAATATAAAGCACAGAAAAGGTTTCATGTTCTTTGCCGAACCTCGAGTCAAACGCTTTGGAGAAAGAAGTGACAAAACGTTGACAAACGGGACTCAGAGTTATAGTAAAGTGAAAGTACTGGTCGTCTGTTAAATATGGGCTGTTTGGCTGGTGGTTCCCAGACTTTCTATGTGAGAATTTCACAGCAGAACTGTTAAAAGTTGTCACGCATCTTTGAATGCTTGATGTCTGGTAGGAGGTTAGAATCTCTCGGTGTGGGCTGCAGGCCAGGCGCTCATGAGTAAAACCTTCTTATTCATTCTCACCACCCCTTCATTACATCTTTTCATCTTATCTTTTTCAAAACTCAATGGGCAGTAGCACATGGACGGAGCGTCGTTACTCACGGTGCTGCACTCACGGACACACACTACAACTAACAGGGACCGTGAGTCTTCTCACCTTGGTTTTTTTTGTTTTTTCTGAGATGATTTTAAGCACTTGTATCACAAAGTTTCTGAATTGCTTTATTTGTGAGTGAAAGTTTTTATTTCTAGTTTTAAAAAAATTGTAGTTTAGGGTTTGAAAGCACTGAGCAGCATGTGGAATTAGACCTAGATATGTGTGAAACGATGACTGCGATGCTGAGCAGCACGAGAGTTCATTAACATCACTTTGCAGCAGGACAATATGAATTCATGAAATAGGCTCTGAGTCGGTAAAAACTGCGTTGTGCACTCTGTAGAACAGTTTGCACTTCATCTCTCCTCTTTAAATCCAGTCAGGTGAACCTTGTAGCAGACACTAACACATAAAATAAAAGAGAAACCTGATTTATAGTGTGAGTCTCCAGCAGCTCTGTGTTTTCACCAATAAAATACTAAAAAAAAGAAACATTTTCTGGGGAGATCAATCAATCTGATCCAGCTGAGGACACTCTGACACCTCACTTTACTTAAACCTACAGTACCTTTTAATCAGTGTCTGTACAAAGGCTCAGATATGTGATACACATGCGCAGCATAAAAACGCTCTGTGTTGTAGTTGGTTTTTTCCTGCCAGAGCGAACCTGAAGCTTTTAACCATCATTACAGTGTTCTTCCATATACGACCCTTATCATGTAGCAGGAGACAGATCTAAACCTGACACGACTCTCAGCCTAACTCCCACCTTGACTTATAAATGACCAGAAAAAGAGTTCCTAAAATATCACTTTTAGTGTTTTTGTTGCTCAAAACCCCTCGAGCAAGTCGTCTCAGACGACGCCATTCCTCCTGGCTAAACTAACACCGACATTTACTGTAACACAGCTTGTTTGTTAAATGACTAAAGTTACTTTGTGCTTCTTTGTTTATGTCCTTTTTTTCCTTTCGAAGTGTTTCCAGCCAAATTGTTTTGTGAAGACTTTTGCCTTGTTTTCCACACACACATAAAACAGCTTATTTGCATACCTTTGAGAAAATGTGCAATATGACAATAAGGGAATAGAAAAAGGGATGACAATAATGATTAGACCGGTTGCCTAAAACAATGAACTTAGTTATTATTGCAAGTGTTTTTACACCATGATGTGTTCACAAACTGTTTGAAAAGTCAATTTTAGCTTTTTGTCCTATCATTTTTATTTATTAAGATATTTTTGTTTGCTTGTTTGTTTATTACAAGCTCACCCCTGCATTGGAATAAAATCCTGTAAAGCAGAAGCAACTGTTTGTTGAATAATTTTGTTCATGTGAGTTTTAAATTAGGGATGCACAATATTGGATTTTTGGCCAATATCTGATATGCCAATATGTTTAAACATATTTGGCCAATAACCGATACCAATACCATTTTTTTTCCTAGCTCTACTTACAGAGACTACATCGCTTTCTCTGCTGTGGAATTAAAATACTACATTATTCTGCACGGTCTCTGTCAGTTTGACCTGTGTACCAAATGCACATGCCAAAAAGAGGTCTGAAAATGATGTAACACTTCAACTTGGATTATGTTTAATTTCACATTTATTCATGACCTTTAACGCACTCGAACAGTGCAAATTTGTAAATTTTCACAAATCCAAGTTCAACCTGTTCACAAGCAACAAGTGAAAAGCGCATAAGTAGTAGTGCATTAATAGATATACTTGACAGTTTTTGAAATAAAAATTTTACTTAAAACAAGCCTTTCATATCAGTGAGTTATTGTAATGGAATGGCCGATGTCCGATATTTAACTTTATTGCTAATATCGGCCGATACCATGCCGATAATATTGTGCATCCCTATTTTAAAAAAAAGTGATTGTGTGGTCAGTAGGAATATAACAAATCAACTTTTTTTGGTTTTGATCCTGCTACCTGAACTCCGAAGTTTGATACTTCTTTTTATTTAGTCATTTTCTTCACTGGCCCTGGAACGAGGCGCACACGTTCTCCTCCCTCTCCCTGTTCTCCTGCTTTTTTTGCTTTCTGTCTGTGCATAGAAGCTCCCATTTTTCACACATCTTCCGAAATGAAAACTACTGTTTTGGATCTGACCAACTGGACTTTTGACGCAAATGACAAAATCTTTTCAACAAAGCGACAGGGTCCTGGAGAACCCTCATCTGCTCGTACGACACGTGCACCTGGATATATCTCTGGGGAAGTGGAATGTGACGTGTCTACCTCTGCTGTCGATCGAGGACGCTGAAATTGCAAATAATTGGATTTATGATAACAGGTTTCCTGTTTTTGGAATAGTCTGGTTCCTGGTTTATCAACATACAAAGAAGACGGCCGCAGCTTATTTGGCCTGGTCAGGCTGCTGCCTATGTGAAGGTTTGGTTCGTGCTTTGAGGACTCAAAATCAGCTGATTTACGAGGTGAACTGTAAGATGGAAGTGATTTGAATCGCAGGCCACCTACGGCTTTAGGACTCGTCAGCATGAAATGACCTTGAAGAGGCTCGTAAGCACGGACCGGTAGAATGCACCCTAATCTGGCCATTTCAGATCTTGGAAGTACCAGTAAGACTCAAGGCTGACAAGAAAAATAGTCTGCCTGAATAAATCAACACTTGTGGATTATCTGAATCTGACTCCCTGGTTGGCCTCGAAACAGGCTGACTTATCAATTTCTCCTGGGAAATGTGTAAACTAAAGAAAAGCGTCTATCGCAACCCCCCCCCCCCCCCCCCCCCACCGAACCCATCTTCTGTGGAGGTTTATCAGAACTGCCGCCGGCTGACCATCATCTTATCAGGACTATCTGTTCGTGCTTCATGGACCGCCTCGTCGTCAAATGCATGTAACGTGTTCATAAATGTGCTGCTGGCAGAGTTTTTTTGATGTCTTAAATCGTGTCCTGTTAGGACAAGGTGTGAAGAGATCTTTTTTTTTGCAATGCCACTATCCTCTCCTCATGGCTTTGTCCCTGTTTCAATCTAAAAAAAAGTATTCTGTAAAGGATAAAAAGGCCGCGCTATCACAGCAGCAGCTACGTGCACTCCGCCCATCTTTCAGACGACTGTATGGACATATTCTCGTATCTCGGTACATTGATAATAAAGCTTATTCTGATTCTGATTTTTTTATGTGTGGAGTAAAGTTATAAACCACAGAGATACCAATTTTACTGCTGTAGTTTTACTATATGTCTGTCAAATTCATGTACAGGTACATCTAGAATGTATATTTTAACACTATACAAGTAGCAACTTTTTGTCTGTAAGCTAAAACATCTATTGTAAAGTCAGCCAGAAATCAAATCTGCAGCAACACAGGACCATAAAGTCTGGATCAGTAGACTGATCGGTGACCTCATCCCAATATCTGATCCAAGAGAGACGTCAGAACTTGAGGTTGATGGCGATCTTTGATTGGATCAGTTCCAACTCAGTTGTATTTTGGCATTAAAGATGCACTTCTCAGTTCACAGAGGTCAGTTCTGGACCAGATTTGGACTGAATATGAGTTTATCAAATACATTTGCTCGACTTCAACCTGCTTTGTTTGCTTTTTAGCAACAAGTGAACAAATCCGTTTACCTGCAAACACACAAATCTCACCAGTTTACACTCAAAGTTAGCCTGAGGTACTTCTTTAATGTCATGAATTCAAAATTTCTTTAAATAGTCAAAAATATTGCCAGTCTGCTCATACCTCTAAATACAATAATAATATTAATATTCATAATAATAATACCTACATTGAAATACCATAAGTTACAAAACAAGAATGAAAAGCTTCTTATCCACTACTGTACAAAGGCATTCATGAACAATAGCATTAATATTTAAGTAACCAGTCGGTGCCACTCAACTCAAAGTTACATCAAACAGAGAACAGGTAACAGTCCCCTTTACACAAGTCTTATTCAAGTGTATTAACCTGTGGAAACAACTACTAAAAGAACATTTTTACTCTGCTCATACTAAATACAAATCTGTTGGGATACAGTGAAGTTTTGAACGGTGCAAACAAAGTGTTTGGTTGAATCGTATGGATCTGCAGCACCTCTATTTAAGGGAAGGCAATTGACGATTTTATCTGCGTTCAAAGTGTTTTGAATTTTGTGGTACATAAATACTACATTTCTGTGTTGTTATACCTTTAAACATGCAGATCCTCCTGGGTTAATACACAGCAATAAGCCACTGTGGGGTCGTTACTGCATTTGATTCATCCGTTCATTCATTCATTTACAATGTCTGCGTGAGTAGAAAGTTGTCTTATAGAGTTCCGTAATCGTAATCATCTACATTATATTTTTCCTCCAAAAAAAACAAAAAAAAAACTGAATCTGAGTACAGATCAGTGTCCGCCTGTGAGGAGTGACAATCAGTGGCCAGTTTCACTGAGGGTGTAGATTTACAGACATGAAGATGACACTCTGTAAGCCCTTCGAGATGCACTACTTCGACCACACTGGGGGCTGCCACACAGTTTTGCGGTCAACAGCAGTACACTTTCTGTAGGAGACGGGGTGTCAGCATATTTAATTGTGTTTGACCTAACTGGATGGGTCCACTGAGAATAGAGTACCTGATAAGAGTGTTGTCTAGAGCCTGTCTGGTATTGCTCAGTGTGTGTATGTGTGAGCGTGTATGTGGGGGGGTGTGGGTGTGGACCTTGCTCTCCTAGCAGCATCTTCTCTCCCATGATGCAAACACATATGCAAGCATATGCACGAGTGCTGTGAAGACACACGTGGCAGCAGGCCTCGCTCGGACACACACACACACACTCCACACTGAGTTTGGCAGGAAGACAGGTCAGCTGTTTGCGATGGTGGAAGCGATCTGGATACACGCATTCTCATTTCAAATATAGCACTAAAATTTTCGTGTTGCATGAGAAAACGCCTCTGGAAGATTCATCTATTGTGGACTCTTTTTTTTTTTTAAAGTGTGGTTTAATATAAGTTCTTTATTGTTGCTCAAAAAAGTACACCAGACTCCATTTCCCAGCAGCCAAGACCAATTTCTCTGATCCCAGTTCCAATCCTCTGGCAGCCCGAGCTCAAACATGGGTTCTTCTGCTCGAAACGTCTCCGTACAGTAAGTCACTTTGGGTCAAAGCATCTGCTAGTTAGAGGACAACATTTTTTTCGAGTAATTTGGCAGCTTTGGCGCAGTTCTTTAAGTCTTAATGATAATTATTTCCACAGGACTTTCAATATCCCCCTTCTCTGGAGGGGTGGTACAGAGAGAAATATTGTATGAGGGTGTAAAAGGTGATGCTCTGCGCTGTGGCGCAGCTCTCCCAGTCAAACAGTAGATGGCACCGAGGCACAGTCCCTTAGTGAGATGGATTGGGGTACAGTTGTGGCAGTTCTGCCTCAACATGTATCTCCTATATGAGTTCCACCAAGGTTAAGCCAACAAACAGCCAATCAGAAGGCAGTCTGAGGTAGTCCCTGCATCATCTTTACTACAGGAGCGCTTGCCGTTGGTAGAAACTTGATGCCTGTAAGGTACAAAGTGGAATCAGCTGCCCTTCGTGAGCGACATATGAATGAGGGCAGTGCAGTGCCTCAGTTTGTGTGTGTGTTGAGGGGGAGCACATAAGGAAGGGGTGGCACTGGGGGCAGGGTTGGTGTATGAAAATTATCTTATATGGCTCTGTGATTTCTGGAACCTCTGTCTCTAGCTGGCCTCCTCTATGAGCCGAGCCAAGGTGTCTCTGAGCTCCGTCAGCTCAAAGATCTTGCCGTCGAGCAGCTCCAGCAGCGTTCGCAGGCTCTTCCTGAAGTTCTCCTGCTCCTCCTGGTTCTCCTCCAGCCGCTGCTCGGCACCCGCCAGCTGCTCCTCGAGCACTCGGCCACGCAGCTCCGTCTCCTGTGCACATCGAGACAAAGTTGTCGTATTGGTGTTATGTTGGGCAACAGATACACCGGAGAAGAAAGAATGGTTCACCTCAAGCTTCTGAGTGAGAGTGTCTTTCTGCTCCATCAGGTCATTCATGTTTTCCAGCTCTTCTTTTAACTTTTCCATTTCCTAAAGGACATTAAAAGGAGTACAGCTTAGGTAGGGTAACTATGAGATTAGGCCTGTCGCGATAAACAGTAAATCAATTAATCGCATGATAAATTAAAATTATTAATCTCATTTTTATTTATCGGCTTTATCGTTTCTTCATGTCTCTCTCTTTATACTGAAGACACCGAATGACAAAAGGCTCAACTCCGGTGCTCTTCACTGACCCTTCCCTTTCTCACGTTTTTGGATCATTAAAAGCAGCTAAGCTGAGAAGTTAAGCTATGAGCTAAGCTAACAGGCCGACCTCTGGAAAAAAAAAACTCGCAAAAAAAAAAAAGCTCCAAAATTCACAGTTGAAACCCGTGCCTTCATGTAAAAAGTTTTTCTCTGCAAAAGAAGCTGAGAACTTGTTTACTGATTCTTTTATTAAAAGCGTTGTGTGAAAAATGCTATGCTAAAGAGCTCAAACCACACCGAGCGTTCAACATTTTGAGAACCGAAGAGAGACAGCCCATGTCACATCAAGGGGCCTCCTTCCCATTTTTCTTAAAGACACGTTGCTCACTCCCTCACTATCCATCCTTCAGTTCAAACTGTCTTATGCTGTCATCTGGTGGTTGAAAAAAGTACTACATGCAAAACAAATTAAACATTTCTTATTGTCAAATTTCAAACAATATTATCGTTTATCGCAATAATTTCTGAGACAATTAATTGCCCGGCAAAATTTGTTATCGTGACAGACCTAAATGAGATGCATAAATTCCTTGCATTTCTTATTCTCACACGCAACAAACCTCTTCTTTATCCCGTAGTGCATTCTCAAGCTCCTCTATGGTTTGGTTAAGTTCGGTCTTCTGGGATTTAATCACTGGGCTTTGGTTGCTCTGACACTCTAGCTCTGTCACCTGTAAGAACAAGATTGGTTGGTTTACCACAATCACATTTTATCCTGGCTTCACAGCATCTCGTGCTCCTGTTTCATCAGAATAGTTCAATCACACACACACACACAAACAAGCTCTCTTCTGCACTCCCTTTGCTCACCCGCTTGTGTAGTCTCTCTGCCTCCTCTTGGTAGGCAGCCAGTTGCTGTTTCCACTGTTTGACGTTGGCTGTGGATTCCAGCAGAGCCGCTGTTAGCTTAGCGTTGTTCCCCTTTAGAGCCTCCAGCTCGGCCTCCCAGTGTTTTGTCATTGCTGGGCTGCTGAACACAGAAATAAAAGGTACATGTTGTCAGCCTGTCAACAGTAAGTACTCGTGTTTTGGGATGTACAGTACAAGCAATAAACAGCAGAATGTCTGCAACTGTCTGTGTCTGGTGCATGTGCAAGATGATTTAATCCCCGTTAAACCTAAATAACTCAACAAAACATGTAAGTACCACCAGATGTTGAACCTTGTTACAATGGCCTTCTTAGTGTTCCAGTTTTTAATGTACTGCTCAAATGACCAATGATTTATGGATCAGTTTGTCCACTCAATAATCTGGACTGACTATAGATTAGTACAAGATCAAATCTCTCTGATAGTCATAATCAATATGAAACAACAACAGCAGTATCATTTTGATCCCTCCACTCTTCACTAATTAATTACTAATTTACCAGTAGTAAATTAATAATTTTTTTTTGAAAAAGAACACAACTGGACACAGAAACTACAGTAGACACTGGTGCTGGAGGTTAGGACGTTTGGGCAAGCAGCTGTGAAAGCAGCTGTCTGTGTGATGAACTGCAGTGAAGGGTTAAATGTTGTGTACGTTAAATTACCTGCAGAACACAACAGACATAAACCTCTGTACAGTATCAGCTCAACTGCAAATGGGTCAAAAGTGTAGTTTAATCTATCCATTGTTTCTAAGTTAAGAGTGCAGTAATTCCAAGAAAATTAGAAAGATTATAAAAATGAAAATACAGGCCCGCAAGTAAAACTACAACATTGAGATGCACAAGTTAGAGAACCTGAGAGTACGCTGAGCTTTATAGTTTGGTACTGTAAATCACATAAGGATTGTTGAAACAAAAATATATATAAAATAAAATAAAAACAGAGCTATTGTAGAGTTTGATTGAGTAGGGCTGCATATTGGACCCTTGGCTGGATTCTTGAAATGACTTCATGACATCAACACTGGAATATTTGTGTCTGTCTTGCTCTGGATTACAAATAGAAAGTGTTTCACATTTTGTGTAAATGTCAGTAAAATTTTCAATATTCTGCTGGACTAGATAAATCCCAATCTGAAGATGCTACACAGATTAATACCATTACATCTATCACTACTGTCCATCATTAATCTTATGATTTTTTAATATGAGGCAAAACTATGACTATATGTTTTACATAATTTGTTTGAGTAATTCAGTTTTACTTGATTAAGATGTACAAACTACAATATTTAACATCTTCATGTGTTATTTGCACCTTTTATGGGCATATTCTCACTTAGTGATAAGATAGATGCCTAATATCACTTTCAATGGTAGAAGTGGTGTCTTGAGGGTATTACTGTATGATACATGATATGATACAACCCAGGATGACGATAGAACATGATAAAGTATGATACAACATGATTTGGTGCAATACAAAATATATTATACAACATGATACAGAATAATGTCATACAGTATGTCATGATAGGGTTCTAAGTGAAATAAGATGTGACATTTGACCCTGACTTTTGACATATGACCCTGTAACAAATAAAAATCATCGTTGACGCACAAGGTGTATAGCTGTGAGGTTTGACATTCCTATGCAAAAGGGTTATCAATTTATAATTATTTAAAGAAATTGGTGACTTTTGACCTTGATCTTTGACCTTGTGACCTTGAAATCAAAAGGGATCTTTGTTGGCCCACCAGGTGTCTGACTGTAAAGTTTAACATGTTAAACATTCATCAAATTAGAGCTATTTAAAGAAATCTTTGACCCTGACCTTTGACCCCCATGACCCCAAAATCGATATACATCATTGCTGACTCATGAGGTGTCCAGCTGTAGTTTGACATTCCTACATTACAGAGTTAGAGCTCAGACAAAAAATTGCAAACGGACCGACAGCTTGTTGGCTGTGGTGGCCATTTAGCCTTCAATACGTGTTGAGGGTCACTCTCGGCTACTACCACACCAAATTTTAGCCTAAATTATCTAAAAATGAATGAGTTGAAGCTGAAAGAACCATAATAGATCACAAAAAACTGACTTTAGTGGAACAGTAGATGAAAAAATTCTTACGAAATGCCAAAACGCTGAATATTTCAAAAAGTTTAAAGTATATCAATACCTAAAGTCATAGCAGGAGAGTCCTGAATGAGCTGAATGTTTTGATACCTTATTTGCTGAAATAGCTTAAATACTGCGGGATGAGTTAGATGCAGAAAAATGTACGAAAGACACTTGGACAGATTTAGTGTGTGAATGCTTGAAATGCATCAATAGCTGTAAATTAGTAAGACAAAGTTAAAAGAAGAACAAAAAGCAAAATCTGCAGCAAAAAGTTGTGATTTGTAAAAATAATTTTAAAAATAGCTAAAAAAAAACAATAGCAGAAAAATATGAATCAGCAAAAAAGAAGCCGAAATTAGCATGAAAAAGGTAGAAGTAGTGACAAGCTAAATGCAAGCTAAGAGCCAGAAGAAGTAGACAAATGTTAGCAGTAAACAGAGAAACACTAGCTAAGAAGCAAAAGTAGTGAAAAGCTGGCATAGCACTAAAATACCTTAGATATCGCTAAAAGTCACACAGCAATATAGCAAACAGCAGGGCAGATGTAGCATTAACAACATTAGCATTAGAATTAGCATTAGCAACAAGCAACATTATTTGATCAAAGTTCATGCTCAATAATCCAGGTAAAATAATCCAACAAAGTTCATTCAGGTCATCAAAGGTTTCTTTTTGTGTGTGTGTTGAGACGTTTCGTCCTTCATCCATAGGACTTCATTAGTCCAAGGAGCCACAGCAAACTTGGTCCCACAAGCAGCACACTCCTATAGTGGGCCAACCAGTTTGCTGGTGATAAAATGGTTTCTGGGGCCCGCCCTCTCCTCCATCGACTCCTCTGAGGCAGCCACAGCCAAAGTGGTTCAAAACATCAAAGCACTGATTTAATGCTTTATTTGATGCATTATCGCTAATGCAAATCATCATGATTTGTATTAGCGATAATAGGGCAGACTTAGCATGACCAACGCAGAGTACAAACAAATAGCAGGGCAGATGTAGCAATGGTTGGGCTAAATTAGCTCAACAAGGCAGGCAAGGCATGCTTTATGAGCATTCACACAAAAATCCTTTTTGGAGAAAGATTGAACATTTTCTGTCTCATATAGGGTCTGACTTTTGTGTCAGAAGATGAAATCCATATTTTTTTTTGGCAGGACTATTCAACCATGTCCGGCCGTGGGTGAACTCAGTCCGGCCTACCTATGAGTTCATTTAAAATAAAACTCAATTTAATTATTATTATTATTATTATTATTAATAATTAAAAAAAAAAATCTGACATGAACAATATTTCCATCAGAGGTGATCTTGTTATAAAAAATAATCAATGACAGGGTTATACAACTCTGCCTGCACATGTGCTCACTTCATATAAAACTACATTTTAAGTTGTAACATAAATTTCTCTGATTTTAATATTTGCCACTTGTCCGGCCTCTGAGCTGTTAGTTTTCAGTCAACGTGGCACCCTGAGTAATTTAGTCAAAGAGCCTGTTTTAGAGTATCACTAAATCAAACGTCTTCTCCACACATTTCACAGTAACTTCCACAGCACACGCTCACACATAATTTCCTGTAGATCCTCACTTATTGCAGCAGCGCTCCACTGAAGGCATCCACTAGCGTAAAAGAGAAAAATCCCTAATTTGCTGTAACTCACTTCAGCTTTCTTCAGCACTTTCAGTCCTTATGCAACAACCACCCCCTCTGTGAGAGCAAGTGTGTGTGCATGAGTGACGCATCAGAGGGAGACGACACTTCATCCTACACATGAACATACTAACACATACACACACACACACACAGGGAAAGAGGAGTGCTGTCACCGAGGCATGCAGCCCCATCGTGTATAAACCTCACAGAACAGCTCGGTGAGGCAGAGTGCAGGCGAGACGTCAAGATGTGAAGATGGAGACAGAAGGAGAGAGCAACAGAGATCAGCGGAGGGAGGGATAGATGAAGGGATAGATGAAGGAGAAGGTGTTTCAGCTCTGCGGCTCGTCTGCGTTTGAGACTGGAGGGATTTCAGAGGGCACAGTGCTGGCTGAGGGCAGCAAAGGTACACGATGGGTAAGTTTGATGTGGTTGTGTTACTCAGAGATTCGTAGTGAAGGCAATGGGATTATAAAAATACACGTGCTGTTTTCAGGAGTTTTTAAAATTCTGTGTCATTTGGTGACTTTCAGACAAAAGCTTTACTTCTTATAAGGATTAATTATGTTGGCACTGAAGAATAAATGTTTGAAAAACAAAAAACATCCAAGTTTTTATATAATTAGATTTTTATTTTATGTTATTTATGCCATGTTCAAGATTAGTAGTTTGTATTGCTTTGTGTTTTAAAATGTTTCAAATTAAACATGTTTTATATTTTCTGGACATTTTTTTTTAATGTAACATAACCTGTACGCCCTGCACATCACGAGTCTCTAATAAATTATTAACTCTGTTTTGTGTTTTACTACTTCAAAATGCCGAAAGTATAAATGTCTCTCCAGTATTCAATAAAACCATTGCAACACAACGTGCAAACTTGTTTGGCACGCGGGTTTTTCGTCACTTCTTTTGCATGCCTCGACCGCCGTTTGATGTCAGGCTGGTTTCTCCTCCTCGCGCCAGTGTTCAAGAAAGAAAGAGAGGCAGAGCAGTTGCCATGGCAGCACGGAGGAGGAGCGGAGGAGACATTGCAACAGTCTCAATTCACGCAAGCCTTCCACCAACCCACAGACTGACGCCTACATCCTCCAACACCAGAAGACCATTTACTTCCAACCCAGGAAGTCCTAACACAAGGTCTCACAATTTTCAGAAAACCATTTAAAGTGAGTCCAGCAAAGATTTGCCAAACACGCCCACATCCTGATCTAAGTAGTTCACTCAGAGGCATGCTGTCTTTCATCCAGCTCGCTCCTCATCTGTTCTCCTCACCCACGCATACCTGCCCACACAGCTGAGCTGGAGAGTGGTATGCACCCTATGCAGACAAGCATTCATGAAATGTAGGATTCAGTTCTCACAACAACAACAAAAAAAGCATACGCAATCAAATTACATGACAAATACTTTTATTCTATTCTTTTGGCTGTCAGACAACTCAAAGTACAGCTTCACTGTAAAGACGGGGTTGGAGGAGTGTCTCTAAAAGTTGGTGCACGTGAGATAACGCTGAAGAAATAAGAAGTTACGCAGTGACATAATCCTGATGATCCTAGAAGCTACCCTTGCCACGTGCACGGCTCTGAGAAAAGTGAGCGTGAGGCTTTCTTGTTACGTCCACACTTGCCATTGTGAATGTCGAGAGTCGACCCCGTCTTCCCACGCATGCAGCATTATTAGAAACTCCAGCAGGGCTGCAGCAGGCAGTGGGTGTCCTCCCTACATACTGTACTGCGCTCACCGCACAGATCTGTGCAGCATCATGTAATCACAGGGATTTCACTGTATAAGCTCCTTTTATCACAACGCCACTAAATAATTCTCAGCAGTGATCGCCGTAAAATTTTTCGATGGCAAAACAAAAAAAGCGTTTCCACACAGATAATACGTCAGGTTGTAGATTGACATCTTTAATTAGAATGAACCGCAGCCACAGAAAAGAGATAAAAGTGACACAAGTACAGATATTTACAAATCAGAAGCACCTGTGTGTACAAGTGACCCACTTAAACACAGCCCTCTCCTTATGCGATTTACTGCAGTGAGACTGAGCCCTAACAGTGGATGTTTAGGTATCAGTGACTCATGCACACACTTTATACAATGCACATCCCTCTATGACAGACAGACCCAATCTGTGTGTCCGTCCATGCCTCCCACTACCCACATTCGGTTATATAAGTCTTACATAAACGCTTCATCAACACATTTTTGATGATGAACCTCTCAACTACACCTTCCCGTGGTCCATCATACACAAAGTGTTCACGTGTTTTTACGACCTACACAGACGTCTGCATGTGAACACTCACAGGGACATTTCAATGTTTCAGTCTGCTAAGACACAAAGAAGAATGTACAGCAGCGACGGTTCATGCACAGGTGTGACACCAACGCCTTCTCAGTCAAGGGATTTGGAATATGCATTTAAATTATTGCATTGCGGCTGGTGTACACACACAACTAGAAACATGTGTGAGGTTTCAAACAGAGCATGCTGAGGTTGAACAAAATAAATGACCTGCATCAGTCCTGAGAAACAAGATACATCTCCTGCTGGCCTGTTTTACGTGACAGAGGGTACATGCCACACATAATACCAGGAAGAAACAAAAGTCTTTTGCATTTCTAAATGCGTTTTTGTTTAGAGTAGTCATAGTGTCGCAGTAGTCAGGACGCCACTATCAGATAGAGCAGACCCGACAAGTCTTAAGCTGATCCCTGGAGGGAAAAAAACACGAGAAAGCAGCAGTGAATCGAGAGAGTTCACTTTTCTTTGCCGACATGGACATATGTGAGCACTCGGACAAAGTAAAGACTGAAAAAAATGTATGTACATGTATGAGCTGCAAATGAACAACAGACGAAAAAAAGTAAAATATTCTCACTGGTTAAATCTGCACCGTGCAAAATGTGGGACAGGTAACACGTCGCAGCGTGGGGTATACCTGTGTGCAAAGGCCAGAGCGTTCTGCGCCGGCTCCGGGCGGGTGTCCGAGTTGGGGGTCGTGTCACAGATTTCATCCGTGCCGTTGATATTTTCCATGGGGGGAGTCACGGGGGTCAAAGGGGAAGAGAGCTCACCTGCCGGAGACTCCTATGGGTGAAAATAAGTGTTCACAACTTTAACCCTATAATATAAACATGGCTAAAGAAACAAAACTAATAAACTTAATAGCATTTTATTTAAATATTGAATGTATAACCAAGATCCATCCATCCATCCATTATCTTTACCCGCTTATTCCATTTTGGGTCACGGGGGTCGCTGGTGCCCATGTCCAGCAATCACTGTGCGAGGGGCGGGGTACACCCTGGACGGGTCGCAAGTCCATCACAGGGCCACATAGAGACAAACGAGACAAACAACCATTCACTCTCTCACTCACACCTAGGGACAATTTAGAGTTACCAATCAGCCTAACATGCATGTTTTTGGTCTGTGGGAGGAAACCGGAGTACCCGGAGAAAACCCACGCATGCACGGAGAGAACATGCAAACTCCACCCAGAAAGGCCCCTGGACCGGGGTTTGAACCAAGGACCTGCTCGCTGAGAGGCAGCAGCTCTACCAGTTGCGCCACCGTGCTGCCCTATAACCAAGATATCGGTTACATTTCAGTACATTCGAAAAATAAAGTAGCTAATTGTATTTTTAGGGGTGCAAAGGCTCATCAGTGGGATGGTACCCTCAAAGGTACTGTTCTTGTAACCTCAACACTGGGTATTTACTCCTAGTTTGTACCTTTTAGAGAAGTCTAGCAGCATCTTACCCTAGGTTACCACAACAAAAGGGGACCATTAAAAACAAGGTTGTGGAAAGTAGGGGCGCTAAGGGTACTGCAGCACCTCCCAAGAGGACAGGCATGCCCAAATACTTAAAGAATTGTAAAAAAAAAAAAAAAAAAAAAATGCATAAAAACAGATGTCATCAGTACTACACAACTTTAAATTCCAGTACTTTGATATTACTGAACTTTTGTTAAAATCTGAGGTCCTACAAAGAGCTATCTACAACAGATAAATATTTATTGTTAATAATATTTTCGATAAACCCCACTTCAAAAGATCTGTACTATCCCTTTAATGTTAATGTGTAGTTGTGTCAGGCCAGTAGACTCAAACTTCAAACTAGTTATTTATAAATGAATTAGAGGAACTTGATTTAGGACTTCTATCACAGTGAGAAAAATGTGGTTAAACCATTACAATGCGTGAGCGGTGAGATAGTAAATGGTGGAAGTATTTGCATTTAGTGATGGCAGCAGTGCAAAATGTCTTACACTATATGAGCTCATGGTGATGTGCTACAAATTTGCACATCTTAGTGAGCGATTCCACATCTCCATAGGCCATTAAGCTAGCTTGTTTTAGTGCTGGGAAATTACAGAAGTACAGATTAATTCTTATCTTTATATCCCACACAAGCGCAGAACTATACAGGAGACAAATCATTTAGCTGCTGCGCTCACATAAAACAAAACTATTAGCGCTCTGGGTTTGAGCACAATACAGAAACACAAGGACACAAGCCCAACATCTCTAATAGGCCAAAAGGAAGAGGAAGATTACGGCAGGTTTTACATTCTGCGCTCTACATTCATTAGTGTATTATTTATGTGTTTGTGCTGTGTTTTCACTGGAGTATGGCCTTCTGGGACCAGTGTAAAGCCTTTAGGTCTTATTTTAATGGAATAGTTTATATTTGTTGACTTGGTTCAGAGGAGAGAAAGAAGAGGATTTGGAGCAGGAAAGCCAGCTGGCATGTGGGTGAAACACCAACTTGCGGTGACGAAGAACAGACAGCTTCAGCAGACCGCTGCAGCCTTCACAGTTACGGCCTGTCTCCACTTTCAGCACTGTTAGCTCGGTTGTGTCGTGTGGCACACGAGGCCTTCAGCTCCTGGTGAGAGCGAAGCTGTCCTCTTTGCCCCATTAGAAAAGACATCGTGGAAAGATGCTGCATCATTTCAGTCCATGTGGGCTGCAGTTGGAGAAACGTAGCCTGCAGTAAAGCACGGGGCTTCCCATATTAAACAAAGGAGGATATGAACACTGGTAATGAGTTACGGGCCTTGATCAAGGGGGTCCAGAGTGGGGCAAATGAGGGTTCACGGTTTGATTCACCTTTCCCACCCAAATTTTTGATATCCGCAGGGCCTCTTAGTCCACATTTACAACACTTGATTTAAGGTGGTGCAACTTTTCTGTCATTTATATAATACTTAGGAGTTGCAGCTTTTCTGGCATTTGCAGTAATTTCCACATCTGGCCAGTGGTTTCTCACTGCAGAGAGAAGCTACTTTCCTCACTGAGTGGCACAGAGCTATAAGTCAGTTCTGTGATGGAGTTAAATTCAAAGCAGTCTGCTCCTCAGATAAATAGTGTTAACTTGTTTATATATATATACAGGTCCTTCTAAAAAAATTAGCATATTGTGATAAAGGTCATTATTTTCCATAATGTAATGATAAAAATGAAACTTTCATATATTTCAGATTCATTGCACACCAACTGAAATATTTCAGGTCTTTAATTGTTTTAATA